CCGACGACTTCAACGTTTTCAAAATCCATGTGATGATGACATTCGTGAACATGGCACGCAAGTTTGGAGTTATGATCGAACATCAAGACAGCCTTTTTGCGCTTGGAAACCCGCATCTTCAGTGATCTTTCGGTCTGGCCTTAGTATACAAAAACCGCACTGACTGCAATTGAAAAGGAAAGGTACCTGATTGTAATTTCTACTTTGTGGCATTGTTACTATTTCTTGTGAAACGGTTTTCAATTAGGTTCCAATTCTCAAATTGTAACATTTTCCTAACCCCCCTGGAAAATTATGGATCCGCCCTCGCTGTACTTTACCTCGGTGACGACTGACGTGAAATCATTTCCAAATTCCCAATCTTCTCTGGCAATATCACATCTGTAGGAGTAGTTATCATCTCCGAGTCTTATAGTCTCCGTAAAGGGACATGTGGCGTTATTTTTACATTTCCAGCCTGGATCCGATGCAATAAACACCATGACCATCACAGGAACACCAAACCAGAACATGTACGTCAGGTTACAAAATACGTTGAGGAGGACTTGGTAACGACCAAAGCTGCCAATGCTTTCCAGAAATTCATCTGTAGTTAGTTCCATCTCTAGAAGAAACAAGTTATAAAGCTAATTTCTAGCTCGCTGCTGATGATGATAGGGCGCAGCAACTGCGACCAAATCAGTAACGACAAAGTTTATCGAGGAGACACCGTCAGCGACAAGTAAGAGTAATGTACACCTAGAGGTATGTGGCATAGTCGATGTATACACAGTTGCACCTTCGACCCTAGTTCGAGTAGTACTTCAGTTCACAAGAGAAAAATGAACCCACACAACTGATTTTCTGACATGAATGAACGTTGAAACAACGCCACTGGGCATTTTGAAAAGGAGGCCCCCTAATAGAACCTCTTTGAGGCAGCTGCAGAGTAACTGAAAGCTTAGCTTACTCGATTGGAATGAAAAACGCACTGAACGCCATTCAGATGCGGTGTTAGTGAGTCGTCTCGCCCCTGTGAGCGACTGTAAGGTAAAGGGTAAAGTCAGGTCTGAGCTTATCCCGGTTTCTGTAGCGTGAAGCGACTACGAGTATTTCCACTCCCCCCTAGATGGAATGTCACACCATCGCAGGGTTACCCCCAGTATAAAGTTCGCCGTTATTCATACACCAGAGTGGAGAGAGGCACTGTGAGAGTAAAGTGTCTTGCCCAAGAACACAACGCAATGTCCCCCGGCCATGGCTCGAACCCAGACCGCTTGATCTGGAGATAAGCGCCCTAACCATGAGACCACCGCGCCTCCCACACAGGACTGTACAGTGAACGGGACTGTACGGTGAGCGGGACTGCACGGTGAGCGGGACGGCGCGGTGAGCGGGACTGCGCGGTGAGCGGGACGGCGCGGTGAGCGGGACTGTACGGGCCTGCAAATGATCCCAAATTGGATTGCCAATGACAACGGGGGCTGAAGCCCGCTATTTCGAACTCGCAGGGGAAACGAAAAATAGTTCGAAATGGCGGGAGTTTGAAATAGCAGATAGTAAATGACTGAAGGGCAAATCCAAGGGAAACGGTTTTGAGTTCGAAGTAACGGTGACTGTATAACCTCTTAGAATTTTTTTCCTAGTAAATTACTTGCGTCTTTAGTCGCGGACTTTCACGGAAGCGGAAAGATTTCTACGTGCAAAATAGGAATTATGAATCGAAACTTTCGTGTTCTCGGTATTGGACTGGAACTAGCTTGTGACCGAGGCTCATGCGGGCGAATATCGTTAAAAGGGGTTAATGTCATTTGAATTTGAAAAGACTTCCCGCATAAGCCTCAGTTGCAAGCTAGTTCCGGTCCAATATATACCGAGAATATAAAGAAAGCGCTTGAATTACCTACCTCTTTCCCAGGGTCTTCCCTCTACCTCGAGAACTTTCGAGAGGAAGAGAGAGGACCCTGGGAACGAGGTTGTTTTAACGTACGTGTAGAGCTGTCGCTTTTTAAGTGCAAATTTTTCACTGCAAGCAAGAGAAAATGAGGGACCCTCATTTTCTCTTGCGGCAAGTGAATATATGAAAGATCATATATTTGAACTGCGGAGAAAGATATGATGACATGATTGATCATCGCAGTTATACAAAACTTAGGGCAGCATTTTCTCCCAGTTGGCTTGATAGCTCTGTTGGTAGAGCACTGCACCGGTATCGCAGAGGTCGTGGGTTCGAATCCCGTTCAGGCCTGAATGTTTTTCAGGCTCTAATTTTACAAGTGCTTAAGTTGTGTATAACTGCGATGATCAATCATGTCTTCAAATTTTTTACTGTCAGTCATCTCCGCCCCTGTGCGAAAAAGGCTACGCGAAAAATCTTGCCAATTTACTCGGGAGTCATCAGTTTTCTCTAAACTCGAGAATATAGTGAACATCCTATGTTACCTTGTCTCCAGATAC